ATTCAATTTCTTGTGGTTGTGAGACTGACGTCCCGGCTGTCATGTGAGGGTTGTCTCAGCTCTAAAGCGCCCCTCCTCCAATTTCTTGGCTCCTATTCCCCTTCCTCAGTCTCTAAACCTGTAAAGGCAGAGTCCTTCTCATGCTTTTGCATCTCTCTTCTTTCTGCCATTTTATCTTTGATCCCTCTGGGAAATGCTTTCAACTTCATTGAACTAGGTAATTAGATTGGATTCACCTGGATAATTTAGGATAATCTCTCTATTTTAAAAATATTCTGATTAGTCACCTCAGTTTCCTTTTTTTATTTCCTCTTTTGCTATATCAGATAACCACAGCTTCTGGTGTTAGGCCATGGGCATCTTTCTGGGGGTAGGGGTACAATTACTCTGCCTACCACATAGGCCTAATGGTTTCCCATTGCCCATGACGTTGTATAGAGTTTTTTCCAGAAGTTCTTTCCTACCTTTTGGGTTTTATCAGATACAGCCATCTCTGGTAGTCAGCACAGGCACATCTTTCATATTTAATATGTTTGTATGTATTCTCCCTCTGCCTCAGAAACTGCTCTTTCTCTGACTTCAAGACTCAGGTCAGACCTCAGCGGATTTGTTCCTGGGAGAGGTAGATCCTTCTTCTGTTTCCTTAGCATCATTTAGCTCAATATTTGTTTCAACCACTAGTCTGTGATCCTTTCAAGGACAGAGAACATGTTTTACTCAGTTTTGTATTTGTCATACCTACTGCAGTCTTGGGCACACGATGAGCCCTTCCAAAAGGCTTTGTTAACGAACATTTGTTTCAGTGGTAATGCACATCACCCTTTGAGCGTCAGTCAATCAAGTCCTAAAGTATGATAAGGACAAGGACTCTAGATTCATCATCCTTGGTTCAGTACGGATAAGTACCTGTTCCGAAATCAGAACTAATGTTTTTGGCATGAAGGTTGAGACAGGCTCAATGAGAACGCAGGGGAGGCGTCACCGCTTTGTACCTTTTTTTTTTTTTTTTTACATCTATAAAGTTAGGCTGGGAGCCCGGGCACTAGCAGACCTGGATGCTATTTCTAAGTGACCTTAACCTCTCTCTGTGTGTTCTTTACCTGAAATAGAGAAATGGAAGGAGATTCAATTTTAAAACTGTTACTGAGTGCTTAGTCTGTTCCAGGTGCTGGGGAATTTAAAGACCAATTAGAAATGGCCTTTACCCTCCTGGTGTATGTAACTGGTCAGGTTGCCCTTAGGATGTGGTGGGTTTATTCCAGCTCTGACTATCTCTGATGCCTTTGTCTTTCTCTTCCTCCGAGCGCATTTGGGAGGAGAGAGGGTAACTCACTGTAGCCTGTGGGAAACCTACAGGGGTAGTGTTCCTTTGGCCAGGGAGTAAATCTGAGACCTGATGATTGCCTCTCCTGCTCAATGAGGTGACTGTATTTGCTTCATAAGGCCAACAATAACTAGGAAACCACTTTGCGTACCTTTGATTTCATCCTGAGGAAGGAAGAACTGAATTTCAAAGGCTAAGCTGCTTTGAACATTTATTTAAAGATGGTGTGAACATTTAATCCTAGAGACCTGCTCTCCTTCTCCTTTTTTTTCTCCCCTTCTGTTACCTCTTCACCTCTTCTTTGCTCCTTCGTTGAGCCCCCTGCTAGGAAAGTGCTAAATGGCAATATACTTAGAAGATTTTTTTTTGAAGCAATTAAAAGAGAAGAGTTTGATATTTCCTGTTATAGAATTTTAAGAGGTAGATTTTGTGTTAAATTAGTACTTAGCACATTTCTTTTTGCTGTTTTAAAGCAATTTTTTCCCAATACAAATGACATACTAATCTCTATGTCATTTCTATTCATGAAGAAGAAACATTTGCACAGTGCTCGTTCATCCATGAATGCAGTTTGTAGCTAAACCACATAATGCCTGATGGTACTGTGCTGACAGGCACAGAAGAAACAGAACAGATTTTGTTTTCTGAAGATTGATCATTTATAGATCAGTTGATAATTTTTTCTCCAGGTTGCTTCTTACATTGATGATGAGAAATTTTTTACTTTTGTAAGAAGCTATGGATTTCAATGAACCTCTGTCAGTACTGCAGACCTACCTACTCAATATCACTTTGTATCTTGAGCATCTTTTCCAGAAAAGATAAGAAGTAATATTGGTCCCTCATTTTAAAAGTAATATTGCTGAAAATAGTAAGGGTGGGGGGTTGAGGTTTTGAGAAATTGAGTTTGTGAGTGACAACTTGTTCGTACAACTCTATCCTGGCCTGGCAATTTTTTAAGAAAACAGGGAGCCTTATTAGGCATATCTAATTTGTGTTTTAATATTACTTTTCAATAAGGACTTTTACCAGCTTTTTACATTTAAATATAGTGTTTCTTTGTTATCAAGCATCTTTGCTTCCTCCCTTGTGCCCTGTCTTCACTTGCTTGTTTTTGGTGTTTTATGAAATGTATAGTCTGACTTTAATTAGGTTGTTACCCTTCTCTCTGATTTTATTGAGATTCCTGCCATGAGTTAAAGATTGTAGTACAAAGTAATTTGATATAAGGCCTCTTTACATTCAATTTATTAAGTTTATTTTATAGAGAATTAGTTTGTATGTAATATGCATGAGTGGATGTAAGTTTTATTTTAATGACTCACAGTCTGTAGTGTGGAAGAGTTCTTTGGTGGGTCCAGAAATAACTGATTTGAGAACTTCTATGGGTCCCACTATTCTGGTTATAATTGTTATATTCAATGTGATTTTAAAAATAAAAAAGGGGTATGTTCTATTAATTACTCAGACCACAAGACTTAACTTGATTTATTTGGTTTGATAGGCTTCCTAAATTTTATAATGGGCTCCAACATAAGCATGTTAAGTGAAACGAAGTCTTGTTATATTAACATAATTTAAAATTTTTTTGGTATAAGGCAGTTTTAGGAATAGTGACTCTATTTTCCACAATAATTAAAGGAGATGGTAGTATGAACAATCCTAAATCATATTAGCTTTAGAATATCTTCATGGATATGCTTGATATATAGAGATTGTTAAGAATTCACTTCAAACAAAATACTGATGTCCTGCTGTGGGTTTAGTAACACAGGAGGGCCTGATGAACAGAATCTGTCCTTGTGTCTCAGTGTTAGCCCAAGTAACACTATCAAGTTACTTCTTTTTTTTTTTTTTTTTTTTTTTTTTTAAGATCTTATTTGTCCATTTAGAGAGAGCAGAGGAAGGGGGAGAGGGAGAGGGAAAGAGTATTTCAAACAGGCTCCACATAGAGCCTGACACAGGGCTTGATCTCACGACCCTGAGATCATGATCTGAGCTGAAATCAAAAGCTAGATACTTAGCCAACTGAGCCACCCAGGTGGCCCTCTCAAATTACTCTTTATGTGTTTGATTTCAAGCTTTTCTGCTTCATTTGAAATTAAAAATACAGAGTAGGATGTCAACAAGGTAAACAGTTAAGCAGATGCTGTTGGTGTTTCCATGAAACATGAAAGTGAGATTTGAAATGCCTTCAGGTAACCTGTGTGTTGTTGACAGTGGAGAGTAAACTCATCACTTTTGAAGTAGCACCCCGGTTTCAAAACACTGACTTGTACTTAAGTTGTTTTTCTCACCTTCACTGTAATAGTGATCTTTAGGCTTTTCCTCTATAGGAATCAGTATGTTTATTGCTTAAGTACATTTCTGATTTAGTTAGGTGGTGGGGAGAATCAGATTCTGAACACTGATAGTTAAGTAAGCTGTATTCACAAGTGTATAAATGAAGATGAATTTTTTTAAATAATTTTATTTTTTTCATTTAAAAATGTGTTTCATTTTTATTGTTGTCATGGGGAATGTTCTATCGTGTCAAGAAAATGATATATACAGGTATGCGACTTAAACATGTTCTTCATGTTTAAGAACTGCTTTTAATTATTGGATGAAATTTTGCCCTTAAAGTTCCATTTTTCAAGGGTTACACACAAAATCATACATGGAAACATATATACAAAGAAATAAACAGTTATATATCCTATCTTTTCCTTCCTCCCTCTTTTTTGGAGATAGAATATATTCTTTATTGTTCACGGCTTTTTAAATCACTACTGGAAAAGTATATTAATATCCATTAAGGTAGTTTTTCTATAATCAAGGTGAGCTGCTGACTTTTGGTGGTGATGTCCTCCTCATATTACAGTACTTTGGATTATACCAGTTGGATTATACCAGTTGGTTTATGAAAAGAGCTTGGTCAAGATGAATATATTCATTTAAAAATAACCATGAAGTTCTTTAAAAAAAACAAAACAAAACAATTGAACTTTGAAACTTGGGAAATTAACATTTGTAGAATGCATGTCAGTGGTTTGAGAAATTTTCCTAAGACCTCCCTTTTGATATCTTGAAATTTTTTCAGCAATCTTTATGTAGATCTGAGGCTTACCTCTTTCTCTTTTTTAATTAAACATTTTTTTTTAGGATTTCATTTTTATTTGTCAGAGTGCATAAGCAGGGTGAGTGGTAGGCAGAGGGAGAAGCAGATTCCCCACTGGGCAAGGAGCCCCATGTGGGCCTAGATCCCAGGACCCCAGGATCATGACCTGAACTGAAGGCAGATGCTTCACTGACTGAGCCACCCAGGCATTCCTGAAGCTTCCCTCTTTAAGTCTTGCCTGATTTCTGCTCTCTGGGTCGGGGGAGATGCTCTCATTGGCAGCATTTGCTGATTTCTGTGGTATAAGACTTCTAACATGGCAGATTTTAGTTACTACATGATGTCACTGGACACAGAGAATGGAAGTGATGGGCACAGTCGGCTCTCACAAGCTGTTTGATTCCATCACTACTCCTCCTTTCACATGATGATGAATCATGATTGATTGTGCACCTGGTGTTATTCTTGGACTATGTTGTAACATAACATGGGTAAAATATTTGTGACTAGCGTTATTGTGATATTCCGAACTAGAATACTGACCATGTGTAACTGCCTTTTATTTCTGTTTATCAGTTGGGTGCAAAGCTTTGGACACGAGGGACTTGGATTATTACTGGACATTTTGGAAAGACTGATTACTGGCAAAATGTAAGTATATTGTTCATTTTTATTTTCAGTTAAGCTACATTTATGTGTCCAATTATAATTCCAATACTGATATTTTTTATGCCAATGCAGACAAGAAAAAATTGTAAAGAAGAATCAGCATAAAGTTATACAGTGTCTAAAGGCTTTGATGAATACACAGGTATGTACATAGGTAGTTATATTGTATTCTTCACCAGTTCTTAGAGAATTTCTGTGAAATAGAGTTGTATGTTATGAAATTTGTACTAAAGAGATGTACTGCTTTGATAAGCTTTTGCGTACATAGAGGACAAAATATTACAATGCATTGACTTCTAGTTTTGTATCAAATCAACCATCCCTCAACAGGAGAAACTTGAGAACTGAGTAGTATCTCCTGTTGCTTAAATCCTCATGTGCACATTAATCCTCCCTTTCTACTCTCTTTTTTGTTCCCCTCTCTGGCCATCCCTTCCTTTTCAAAGTATAGCATGAGTAAGTTTTGAAATCATACATGATAATCAGACATGGTCTGCAGTAATACTTATTATCAAAGAATCAAGTTGGAAAGACAGTTTTTATAGTCGAGGAACATAAATCTGCAAAGAAATTAATGTGAACCGATAGGAAACAGGTCCCAGAAATGGATCAATGATGTTTAATGTAAGTAATATTGAGACTAAAGGTAATAGGGCAGGTCTGCCGAGTTTGTAAATGTGTATCTGACAGTGTTTCCTTGTTTAATAGAATTTGTACTGTTAATTGTGGAAATTAGCTCTATCCCATGCCACGTCTTTAGCTTCAACATCTAAACATATCTACCTCATGATGGGTGCAGTAATGATAGGTATTTTAGTTGCCATTAGACAGCAGGAGAGGAATTTTACCTATGGTGTTAGGATGATTTCAGTTTTAGAAAAAACTGTCGTATATTTCTGATTAATTTTTAATATTTTCGCATTTTTAAAAAATACGCCTTTAGAAGACTACACCCTTAAGTACTGGTACTTAAATTATTGACATTCATATTTCTTTTTACTAAATATAGCAAAAGCTTATATTTTCTGATTATTTCTTATTTATTTTTCAGCATTTTCTTGAGCTGAGTTTTGTTTTTAACCAATGAAATATTTTTTACCTCCTTGCCTTCTCTAATCAGAGAAGATTTTCAAGCAGACTATCTGATGTAGAAATCTGCTCTGTGTTGTTATATATTCAAATATATTCTAGATTTGAACTCATTGTTCTGTAAGAATTAGATTCCAGGTGTTGTGAACGATCTTGGGCATCGTTCTTTGAATTTGAGAAAACCCTAATTAAAGAGAGGTGAGGTGGTTTCTATAGACCATAATATTCTTGCTCGATTTGAGACTGAATTGGAGAGCGGGTAAACTTTATGTATTTATGTTCTAATTGGTATAGTGTGTTCTCTTATAAGAGCCTGCTTTTGCTTATAGTTTGTATCTGTGGAGCTAGAATATATTGTCTTTGTGTTGATTGCTATCACCTGTACTAACACGAATAAAAAGTTACTGATACTTGTAATTAGTATTCTAATGTCTGAATTCTAAAATTAATAATATATGAAATAATTTTTCAATAAAGACTCTCCTGGGATTTGTTGATGATTTTTCATTTATATCACTGTGCAGTATTTATAGGAGTTCTTTGAAGGATGGAAAAAATACAGGTTTTTAAGAGAACAGTGGTACCTTATTAGGTACTAGTATTTGGTTATTAATGTAATGAACAAATCTGGCAACAGGTGAAAGTGGATTTCATGTAATAAACTAGACTAAACATTTTCTAAGTGGAAAAAGACTGAATATCAGGGGGAAGCAAAGGGATGAGAAGTTAAATACTTTTGCATTAAAAGATAATTAGAACAAGGGCTTCATTCTGGTCAGTTAACTGTTTGAGTGTTGCTTTAAGGTGTACACCTGCAGCGAAGGTGTTTTGCTCCTGAAGCCAGCCCCCTTACCAGTCCCGACCCTTCTCTTTGCTCCTGGGATTAACTCACCATAGGGAATTATTCAGCATCAGTATTCATGTCTCGTTGATCATCCTCCACAGGGATCTAAGGTCTTCCCCTTCTCCCACTGAACACCCTTGCAGTGGCTTGAAATTCCATCTATTAGGTAATAATAGATCTCAAGTAGAATGCAAAGGGAACCTGGCTTTAGTCTTCGGTTTAGAACACGTGAGTTTTCATATAAACCTGGGTGGGTCCTTGACATTCAGTAGAGAGACATCCTTAGACCTTCCAAAATTTGTCACTGCCTCTAACCTTATAATAGGCTTCATTTAATGCACTTTAGACGCTAGCACTGGTAAGTTGATGATTTGTCTCAGAGTCGACAGTTTTTGTTTGGTTTTGCTTGGTTTTTTTTTTTAAATAACTGAACAAGAGTAATTTTATCCAAGTAGGCAGGATTTCTGTCTGTAGTTCTAGGTGCTCAGTAGTGCTAACCTGGCCTCATTCCAGCCTTAAAATGAGCACTTTGTGCGTTTATGTTAGCAAAGTCAGAATGCTGCTGCTGATGGACCTTCCAGGGGTTAGGGGGTGCTAATCAAAACTATGAAATCTGAGAATGCTCATATTCTGCTCTCCCCACATTAATGGTTTAGGGCTGGAGGGCTTTGCAGAGAAGGTAGGGAGTATCACCTGGAGGAAATCGGTGTGCCTTGCCTTGAGTGGTTGGAGGAGCCACAGGATTCTGATTCCAGAGGTGCAGGCATTGGTTAAGGACATCCGGATGAGTGGGAAATAAAGGGGGAAATGCTTTACTTGGTCGTCCTCAGTTTTCTTAGGACAGAGCCAGCCCTTTGGTTCTTGGTAATCATTGACTGATTGACTCTTTGAATTGGATCTAAGTGGTACTTTCTATGCTTCTGACAATTCCCTGGAATGATTATTAAAGAATGTTGTGGTTCTTGGCCCCATTCCTGCTTTCTTTCTTTCTTTTTTTTTTTTTTTTTTTTTTTTTGTTTCCAGTTATGAGACAGCCCAGGGCATCACAAAAGTGATCACTTCCTGGCTGGTTTCGCTGCCTGTCTGTAAACTTTTCCCTATCACCAATAAGAGGGGGAAGTTTCTCCAGAAAGCATATCTTGGGGCCCTTGGCCCCCGTGCCGGCGCTGCTTCCTTCATACCTGTGTTCCTTAGAAAGCAGTTTAAAGCAAATGGGGTATTTTAGCACAGTTAACTAATGACTTCTTTATATAAATGGCATCAGGGAGATAGGAAAATTATAAACAAGATTTCGTTCTCACAGCATTTGGGTCTAAGCTTGTTATAGATTTAACTTTGATACTTATACCTTGTGTTAATTTTGAGTTAAGCCATAGTTCATAGGTCTGTTATTGGGATTAAGGTTCTTTTTTGTGCTCAGTAGTAATTCTAATCAACCAATTTCTCACTCTTTAGAAAGATCCTCGGGGAGGCATGGAAGATAAATCGTATCATTTTATTGCTTCTATTTATCCTCTGTTATTTGATACTTATCTTCCATAGATTGTAAGTGGGCCCTAAGAGATGTATACATCCTTAAATCAAAACACGAAGTCATTAACATGACTCCTTATCTTCTAATTGGATGTGACATCCTATCAGTAGCAAACAAACTTTATCCTTGTCTGGCATCATCCCATTTATATAATGTGTTTACAACTGCATTGTCTTTCTGATGATAAAATATCATTCTGATTAGAATACTTATGCTCCTCATGGCAGTTTCTACATGCTATCTGCCCAAATCATCTTTCAACTTGGGCCTATCTTAGGAACTCAGTGTTACTCTTTAGGTCTGCCCTGTTCTTACGTGGTTACCACATGTGGCTGTTGAGCACTTCTAGTGTGACTTGTCTGAATGGAGATGTGGTCTAAATAGAAAATAGACACTGGGTTTTGAACATGTAGCAAAGAAAAGAAATAAAATAATCAACGAATGTTTTATATTGACTGTGTTGAAATGATTGTATTTTGGATATATTGGATTAATTTCACTAAAATTTTACTTTTGGCTTGGAAACCTGACATTGCCCCTGTGGTTCTCATTCTGTTGCTGTGGGATAGAGTTGATGTGTGTGTTTATTTGTGATAGTGTATCCGTTATCCACCTGCCTTCCCAGGAAAGCTCCTCATGCCCTCAGGGTCTGGTTCAGAAACAGACTGTTAATTTTGTGTGCTTGTTTTGGGAAATCTCAATTTTCCTCACTGCTTCTCCCTTTCTCCAGGGGGTTACTTATCTTACTTACTTAATAGTTATCAGTCCTACCATTATCAAATCACCTTTGAGAAGTTACTTATATTTGCTTGACTCTCCTACTTCTTGATATGAATACTTTTATGAATTTTAATTCTTTTTAAATTTTTTATGATATTTATTTTCTGGCTTTTACTAAATGTAAGAACATATTATCCTATCAACTTTTTAAATAATGATATTTCCTTTAGGGTGTTGTTATTTTTTTCAATAAACTGCTAACATTTAGCTTCTTATTTCCAAAATGTTTATAGTATGGCTTGGAAAGAATTATGAGTGAAGAGAGGAGTCTTTCTCTATTAGCCAAAGCCATCGATCCCGAGCACCCAAGTATGATGACAGATGTGGTGAAACTCCTGTCTGCGGTATGCATTGTAGGAGAGGAAAGCATGTAAGTCTTCTCAACTCATTTCTCTAATACTGTGTAACAGTATAATTTGATTTACTTAGTGTTTTCGTTATTCTAGACTGGAATTTATTGTTAATAAATGAATACAACTTAAGCAAATGATTTAGATTCATAATTGGCTGAACAGAAATGTTTGAGTAATAATGATTCCTCAGTATAGTAGTTCTAGGCTAACATGTTTCTATGAAAAACTGATTTTGTCATATTTATTTTAAAATATTCTGATTTCAAACCCTAAACAAAAATTCTCAGTGAAGACGTAAAAAAAATATATATATATATATGAATGGATATCCTATTTCTTACGTATTTTTGTTTTTCAGATAGAGTTCATTCAAATTCTTGTATATTCCCTTATAAAAGCAAACATCATACTATTTGAAAATGTATTTATAACACAGATATGAGAAGTGTTCTATGAAAGAATAGTACTTCACTGGTTGACGGTACATAGTCTGACCATAAAGTACATCCTGAAGTTTTAAACTTTAAAGACATTATCCACATATGTTAAGGTTGTAACTAAAAGACTATTACATACATATTAACGGATAATTATAAAAATAAACTTTTTTTTAAAGGTTGAGGTACTTATTATAAGATGCATTTAAAAATTATTATAAATGCCTTTTAAAAAGACTAAAGATAAAGGCACTTGTGATGAGCGCTAGGTGTTACATGTAAGCAATGAATCAATAAATTCTACTCCTGAAACCGCTATCATGCTATACGTTAGCTATCTAGAATTTAAATAAATACTTGCAACAAAAACGAAACAGAGGGGCGCCTGGGTGGCTCAGTGGGTTAAAGCCTCTGCTTTTGGCTCAGGTCATGATCCCAGGGTCCTGGGATCGAGCCCCGCATTGGGCTCTCTGCTCAGCAGGGAGACTGCTTCCTCCTCTCTCTCTGCCTGCCTCTCTGCCTACTTGTGATCTCTGTCTGTCGAATAAATAAATAAAATATTTAAAAAAAACAAACAAACAGAAAGGATTAAGACAGTAGAAAATGGAACAACTAACAGAACAGAGAGAAATAGCCCTTTCATGAAGGCTGGGCAAAGGCCTGTAAGCCGAACCTTCTGCCCACATTTGAAACTTGTCCTTGTGGTGAATCTGCGGGGTTGCTGAGGAGTGTCGGGCTGTCCCTGTCCAGTGTGGCCTCACCGGAGAGTCTGCAGGCCTCGCCCTCCAGGTGTCTGCACACATAGCTACAGCGCGCCTCCGTGGATGAGGAGGTCCCCAGAGGCACCCCAGCACACAAAGCCAGGCACAGCTTCAGCACATTCCCTTTCCCATTTTCAGAGTACCCTATTAATTGTATCACAGAACCCTAAGAGTTTAGTTATCGCTGACACACAGGTTGCTCCTTCTGCTCCCTTTCCTCCTCTTCCATCCTCCTCCTCCTCCCTCTTTCCCCTCTTATTTCTCGGTTCTTCTCTTTTCCTTCTTCTTCCTTCCTTACCACTTTCTCCTTTCCTTCCTTCCTTCTTGTCCCTCTGCTTTCCCTCCTCTTTCTTTACCGTCTCTTTTTCCTCCTCTTTTTTTCACTACCTCCTTCCTCCATTTTGTATTTATCATTTCTTGACTTCATAGGTTATCAAGATGATGAAGATAATGTTAACAGCCCACATGTCTGTGTCTACAAACTGAGTTTCGCCAGTACACTAGGTTGTGTTAACACACTGGTCTTTAAAGGAGTAACAACTGTATTTCTCGTGTTGACTATAAATCCTTACTACAATGTATTTTTGGCTACCAGACTTCTTTATACTCAAAAGGAAGGATCGTGATTAAGAGTGCCAAGACCATGCTCACCACACAGACTGTCTGATTTCAGATCCTTGCTCCATGTAGGAGATGTGAGACCTCAGACAAATTGCTTAACTCCCCCCCCCCGCCCACCTTCCCATTTCCTAATCTATAATAAGGGATAATAAAACCTACTTCATAGAACTATATACATTAAAAAGAGTTAATATTTGTAAACTGGTTTAAATAGTGCCTGATGTGTAGAAAGCACTTTATAAGTGTTTGATAAATAACCCTCATCATAGGGTTATTAGGAATAAATGAATAAAAACATGTAGCTAGTACTTGATACATGCTATGTACTTAGCTTTTAAAATGTTGCTTCTTGCTTAGGAGTAGTGATTCTGGAGTTCAGTAGATTAAGCAGTTGTAGTTAGGCATTTGGATTACTTGCTATTTGCAATTTAATTAATTTCAAAATTTCTGATAGCCTTGAAGAGGTTTTAGAAGCTTTAACATCAGCTGGAGAAGAAAGAAAAATTGACAGATTTTCACCTATTGTGGAAGGACTCCGACATGATTCAGTTCAACTGCAAGTAGGTTTCATGTCTAATCCTATGTACTGTTTTGTAACCGTTAGCTCACTGGCTTTTATTCAAATATGAAAACCTGCACGTTGTCCAATATTTTATAATATTTCAAATAACATATAGAATTCTAATAATGTATCTTACAGATGTAACTTGGCGTGTACCTATTATTATTTCCTTAGGTTACTTTCCTAGAAGCTGACTTACTAGAGATCTCTATAAAACATATAATCATAGTCCATAAATTGTTTATTCTTGGTTAGTCTCATTAGTTGACTATTACAAATTTTAAGTTTGGGCAATTAAGTGAATTATGGCTTTTCATTGATCTATTAGTTTTTATGTTGGAAAATTAAGACTTTCCATAAATAATAATGAGACCTAGTTACACTGAGATTTTCAAAGATATTTAAATATTTAAGTTCTCACAGTCACTTTTAGACTTAACCATTATATTGTCCAACCTGTATAACTAATATTCATTTAATTTCTCCTTTTTTTTTTAAAGAAGTTTTTTTAATTACTGTAATTACTGTTACAAGTATTGCTAATAACCTCAGTATCTTTAAGGAAATAATAGATACCTGACTCCCACTTCCCAATATTTTTAGAATTTAATTGGCGTGACCTGGCTTTTGGGATTTTTAAAGATTCTCAGATGATTCTAATGCGTAGCAATATTCAAAAACAAAGATGTACTAAAGCTATAAAGTAAATTTATTTCACACTTAATTAGTAAAAAAGTTAGTAGTTTTATTTTTTTTTAAAGATTATTTATTTCATTTATTTGAAAGAGAGAAAGCAAGAGAGAACACAGGTGAGAAGAGGGAAAAGTTGGCTTCCCGCTGAGCCAGGAGCCTAGTGTCTGGGCTTGATCCCTTGGGCTCATGGCCTGAGCCAAAGACAGACGCTCAACTGATTGAGCCACCCAGGTGCCCCTAAAAAATTACAGTTTTAAATTTTATTTTAAAGCTCTGGGTAGCTTGACCTTCATATTGTTTCTCAGTGTGGTAGGAATAGAAAAACCAAATCTCCATGTTGAATTTTAAAATAAAATGGTATTTGATTTACAGGCTGAAAATCTTAAGGATAGTCAAATGAATAAATTTACTGTGGCATTTCTAATGATGGTATTTGTGATGGTGATCTTCCCGATGACAGTCTTTGTGACTAGCTAGCACAGACCCCTGCTTTCTCTGGGCAGGATGCAGGCCTGGAGATTTGAGTGTGTGGTCCCTGTTGCATAAGTCTCATTACTGGAGCTTTTGGAAAAAAGCCCCGCCTGACTCGTCGGGGCTTGTCAGAGAGCATAGGAATGGGAGTCTGGGATGTGTTGTCCACTCCGATGTGGACCCCGCTCCTTCAGTTTTTTTGATGTGTGCTCTAGAGTCTTTTTGCTTATGCACCATTGGTCTCATTTCCCTTCTCCTCTCATAGGGCTCCAGAGCTCCCATTTGCCACAAGCCCAAGGAAAAGCAAACTAAGAATAAACTTTGTAGAGAAAAGCTGAACACTTACCTTGTCTGAATTTTCCTTTGGTAGCCAGGTTACCTTTTACTCATACAGTATTTGTACAAATAGCACCACGTTATCAGATTCATTAATTTGTGGAGCATATTAGAGTTCATGTCCAATTCTTAAAATTTCACTTAGGAAATGTAATAATCACATGTAAACATTATCGCCTAAATACTTCTTATGCTAATCTATACTTTTTTTTTTTCTTTTTAAAGATTTAATTTTTATGATGAGTGCTGTGAAGTGTGTAAACCTGGCGATTCACAGACCTGTACCCCTGGGGATAAAAATATATTATATGTTTATAAAAAATAAAATAAAAAAAAAAAAGATTTAATTTTTTTATTTGAGAGTGAGAGGAAGTGAGGATGGGTTGGGGATGCATGGTGGGGGGATATGGAGCAGGGAGCTGGATGCGGGTCTCCATCCCAGAACCCTGGGATCATGACCTGAGCCAAAAGCAGACCCTTAACTGACTGAGCCACCCAGGTGCCCTTACTAATGTGTACTATTTGATCTAATAACACACATGTCCCTAGAGTGGGAGGGATGGTGTCTTGTGATGCAAGGACTAGAGTTGCGAGTCTTGCAGCTTGAATTTAAGCTCCAGCCCTTGGCATCCTGACTCTGTGACTCGGTCGGGATTATGCCCCAGACCACTTCTATGCTTCAGTTCTCTCACTTGGAAGAGAAGGACAATATTGATCACTACCTCATTGTGGATGTGGGGATTACATAGATTAATGTATTTAAAATGCTTAGTTTTTTTGCCATAAATGTTAAGTAAATGCTAGCCTTACAAAGTAATTTTGTTAAATTATAAACGAAGTCAGTGGAAAATGGGGATTGAAGGGGATCTTCCTTTTTCAGAAATATTAGCTGTGTTGATAGTAAAATTGTTACTTAACTATAACTCAGCAGTTACACTCATGAACATAACCCAGATGAATGAAATGCAGGTTCATACACATCCCCATCCCCAAATTGTTATAGCAGCTTTATTTGTCATAGGCTCAAATTGGGAACAATCCAGATGTTCTTCAACATGTGAATGGTTAAACTGTGGACACCCATAGCGCAGAATACTTAGTATCGAAAAAGAATGAACTGTTGATACACCCAACAACTTACATGAATCTCCAGGGAATTACCTTTCTTGAAAAATGCCAGTCCTGAAAGGTTACACACTAGATGGTTCCATTTATATAGTAGCCTTGAAAGAACCAAGTTTTAGAGATGGTGAACAGTTTAGTGGTCACCACAGGTTTGGGATAGGGTCTGGGAAAGTATTGGGTGTGGCCATAAGTAAATGGCAGCAGAGAGTTGTGTGTGGTGAAACAGTTGTGTATCTTGATTGTGGTGATGGCGCAAATTTGTACATACAGCGAACTTGCACAGAACCTTACTTGGACACACAAATGAGTGTAAGGCTGTTGAAATCTGAATAAGCTCTTGTGGGTTGTACCAAATCCAATTTCTTGGTTTTAATGTTACATTATAATTATGCAAGAAGTTACCATGGGGCAGAATTTTGCGAAGAGTACCTAGGACCTACCTGTAAGTTTTTTCTTTTTTGCAACTTTCTGTGCATGTACAGTTATTTCAGAATAAAAAGTTTAAAAAGACTTGGTAAAAGTGGGGTCCCAATTTGTTTGCAGCAGTATTATTGTCACTTAATATTTTAAAGCTCTGAAGAGGGGCACCTGGGTGGCTGTTGGTTAGGTGTCTGCCTTTGGCTTGGGTCGTGATCCCAGGGTCCTGGGATCAAGCCCTGTGTTGGGCTTCCTGCTTGGTGGGGAGCCTGCTTCTCCCTTTCCCTCTCCTTGTGCTCGCTTGCTTTCTCAAATAAATAGATCAATCTTAAAGCTTTGAGGAAAAGGGTAAAGAATGTCTTGTTAAGAACAAAGCCATGTTTCATCTAGACAAATAACATGATTGACTCATTAATTAAAAGATGGCAATTACAACCTTAAAATTTTTGGTAACATGCATATGAAATTTGTTTTGACTATTGAGGTAGCCATGTTTAGCAATGGCTAAACATTGAGGTAAACTTGTCTAACCTTGTAGGATTATCATTGATTACCATATGAACCTGAAGGCAAACTACATGTATCAAAAATGTTCCTGGATATGTTTAGTCATTTCTGTTGGTCAATTACTCTCAATTTATTGAAGGTGCTACCATTTGGAAAATAGATATCTATAAAATTCTCTGAAAGAGAATGGCCAGTTAAAAATTGAGAATGGATTATTAGTTTATAGAAGACACTAAGACTTGAAATTAAAATATATTTAAAGATTTGATGTAATTTTGAAATGATTCCTTTTTATAACAGTTTTACTGAGATAAAATACACGTATCATAAAAGTTATCCATGAAAAGTGGACAGTCCTATGTATTTGTATAATTAGAGTTGTACAATCTTCTCCATAATCAAGAACATTCTCATTACCCCTAAAAGAATCTCCTCACCCCCTCTCCCAATCCCTTCATTGTCATCTTGTAATACCCTCATTCCCTTTAGCTCTAGGCAACTGCCAATCCACTATCTCTATAAATTTTCATATTCTGGACTTTTGATAAAAATCATACAATATGGGATCTTTTCTGACTGGTGCTCTCACTTAATATTTTCAGTGTTCGTTCTTGTTGAAATAAGTATCACAACTTCATTTTCCCCCTCCAAATATTAGGCTATTGTATGGATATTCCACATTGTTTATCAGTTAGTTGTCAGTTGGTAGAAATGTGAGTTGTTTGTTTTTGCCTTTTATGGATAATGCTACCTGTGAATATTGGTAGGGATGATTTCATTCATTTATTTATTTATTTAAATGATTGCTTGTTTGCTGTATTTATTTATTTTTTATTTATTTTTATTTATTTATTTATTTATTTAAAGATTTTATTTATTTTTATTGACAGAGATCACAAGTAGGCAGAGGGGCAGGCAGAGAGGGAGAAGAGGAAGCAGGCTCCCTGCTGAGCAGAGAGCCCGATGCGGGCCTCGATCCCAGGACCCTGGGATCATGACCTGAGCTGAAGGCAGAGGCTTTAACCTGCTGAGCCACCCAGGCGCCCCTTGTTTGCCGTATTTAATAAGGACTGGGGGCAAGGCTAGCCAACAACATCTCCCTTAGATAGTTGTTGAAGTCAACCATTTGACTCAGTTCTTAAAAATTTTTTTTTTTAAAGATTTTATTTATTTATTTGACAGAGAGAGATCACAAGTAGACAGAGAAGCTGGCAGAGAGAGAGGGAAGCAGGCTCCCCGCTGAGCAGAGAGTCTGATGCGGGACTCGATCCCAGGACCGTGAGATCATGACCTGAGCCGAAGGCAGCGGCTTAACCCACTGAGCCACCCAGGCGTCCCAGTTCTTAAAAAATTTTACCAAGACATGGGTGGCTGCTTATATTTGCTCTTTTGAAACTAATTGCCTTAGTTGTGAGTAATTACATTTTTTTTAATGTTTAGTTATTTTCT